AGCAGTATAAAATGGCTTTGAGCTGAATCATCCAACAACACAACTACAAACACACACACACACACACACACACACACACACACACACACACACACACACACACACACACACACACACACACAACTATACATACACGCACACACGCACTGTGCTGTCTTGCAGTGTAGTGCAGCGGTGTCCTAGTACTGGCCTTGGATGCTGCGTGGCCCTCCATCATCCATCATCTCCTGCCTGCCTTCTCCTAGGGGACAGGAAGAGCATTACATCTAGCCCTTAGAAACCAATTAAAACAACACAGGCCATGCCAGTGTGTGTGTCTATGTGTGTTGGGGGGTGATGTGTGCATTTTTTGTGTTTAAGTATGTGGGACACTTCAGAGCTCTGTGCTTTCTTGCTTCATTGTGATCTTGTCGTCGTCATGCAGTTTCACAGCTTGTGTACGGCCAATGATTTCTCCTGCATGCATTGTTAGACTCCAATATTGGCCTTTCCCAGACTTTTTTTTATCCCTCTCTACCTCTCTATGTTCTTGTCCATGTCTTTTTTTTCTTGTCCCCTTCTTTGCTTTCAACCATTTGTCTTTCCTTTCCTTCCCTTTCAATTATGCTTCATGTATCCTATGTTTCTGTCATCTCCCTCTTTTCCTTCCTTCTTCCGTCAGCCTGCATTGAGACACATGTTTTTTCTTTACAGACCTTTATTGACAGGGCCTCTGTGATTAGCATTTAGTGTTTTAGGGCTAAACAATAAGTGTAATTGGTACAGCATTGAGAGAAATAATAATACAAGCCAAGGCTGAGGAAATCTTTTCACTCATTGTTGATGTGTTATTATAAAAGTAATATTACAGCTATATGTGTGCCCTTATGTTATAATCTGAGCTATTTTTTTTTAATGTTCATACCATTTAAAAATGCTTTTAATGTTCAGCTACAGTAATCTGTTTGGCCCGAGTATGATTTTAACTTCAGTACCACTTTAGTTTTTATTATTGTAGGGACTTTATGAGCCTCACTGTAAACATTTAGTGATATAGGCCCACGTTATCCCTGTCATCACTCACTTTATTTCCTCCATTAGTTTGTTTGTGACTTTTCATTTTTGAGAGTCTTACACAAAGATAAACTTCAGAAACCTTGTGCCATGCTCATATGGTCATTCTCTGTGTCCCCTGCTTCCCCTTTATCCTCCTCCTCCTCTTCCTATAACTAGCAGATGCTATCTGTGCACTGCCGCTCCTCTGGCCACAATAGGCCTCACACAAAGCCTCCGACACAACAGGACAAGTCGGAGAGGAAGAGAGAAAAAGGGAATTTGAATGGGTGTTGAGCGCCGCAACTGCAAGAGGAGAATAGAGCGAGTGTTTAGGCTGGTGGCTTTTATCAAAAAGGGCTTTTTGTTTGTGTTGTTCAGTGGTGGATGTAACAACGTGTGAATGTATGTGCGTGTGTGTGTTGATAAGCCAGTGCTGTAGGAAAAAGACAGATTTGATTACCATATCTGAAGATTGTGGCTGGTGCACTACTGTGTGCCACTCACTCTTTTAGTCTCCAGCTAAAATAAATACATTCAGACAAAGACAGAGAGTGGATTAAAAAGTCACAAGTTCGGAGAGAAAGAGCGAAAGGGCGAGGGAACAAGGAGGGATGTTCATCAAAAGCCTAGCTGGTGTAAAATGGAAAACACTCCTTAATTATATCACTGTGGCATTTCAGTTCTGGCCTGCATGACACTGGGCTTTGTTCCCTTTGTGTGTTTCTGTTAGTGGCGTCCTGAACACCTGTGGCTCATACCAGCCCGCCACCTTTTCTATAATGATGTTAGACTGGAGATAATTGTCAGGTACTAGGTGGAGGAATAAAGTTGTGGAAGGATCTAATTTATATGCGAAACAGTAGATACTGTACACCTAAAGACAATATATATATTTTGTGTTCTTGTCGAAAGTTAGTTAACAAGATATATACCTTATTACCTTATGTCTGGAGAGTTAATGAGTTAATTAACACATGGTCAACATACACACATGCTTGAAGGCTAAATTAACCATCTGCTCTGTAGCTTCGTCTTCACTGTGCATATGTGAGAGTATTCTTGTGTCACTCGCAGCAACATTGCACATTAAACTATTCTCTAAAATGTCAAACTATTCATTTTTTACGTTGGCACCAGTGCACTCTTTAGGCTTGTTGTGACCTGTTCCACAAAGGGTGTTGACAAATGAAACGGGCAAAGGTAATACTAATGTTATTACCAATTCCTTTCACTGGAATTGTTGCTACCCGTGGACTTGGAGACAGAGGACAAGTCAATATACTGTACATGGTGCTCTGGCCAAGAACTTTGGTCAAGTATAACGATTTTGCAACACAAACAAATGACTTCTACTGTTTGCCTTTCTGGTTTGACCAGAGCTTTTGCTACTACATAAATACTTTTAAAATACTTTTCTGGCCCTTAGCCCCCTCTCACTATTGTGTGCTATATATCGACACTTACTTTATTATGGACACAAAACAAAAAATGTATTTGGATATATGTTTTTGTGCACTTGGAGCTTGGTACTGAAAAGTTAAAATGGCTGTCCTATAGGGGCTTAATCACTGATCATCCATTGTATGCTTCCTTTGTGGCAAGCCAGGTCAAAGAGTGACCTTACCCCCTCTCCAAAACAACCTTCCACCAGCACCTCATCCCCTTCACCCTCCTCCCACCCTGCTGCGACAAATGACCCACCCCGCCACACGTCAGGTTCTAATCCAATTAGCTTTACTCCTAATTATGCTAGTAATGACTGATTACCAAAGGAGCCATTGTCTGCGTGGCTGCCTGGATGAATGGGGCTGTGATTAGCGACTGGGCTAGCCTTGGGTAGCCATTAGCACCTCTGCACACCTTTCAAAGACCTCTGGGGGAAATATGTGGAGCAGAGGTCGCTGTGTGCAGTAATTGTGTTCAGTAGATTAATCGTCACAAGGTCAAATGAGAGATGTAAGTGAAGGCTGGATGGGTGGGTCCGGGTTAAGTGTGTGAGTTGGCAGGTTGGGAATGTTAGCCTGAGTTGAGGCGGACTTAATGGATCCGAGGTCATTTTTCATCTCTCTTAATGAGCTAGCAAGTATCTGATTCATTGAGAATGGGAGATGAGCATAATGACTTAAGTAAACCGTCATTCATGCTGACACGTAATATATTTTCTATGATGTACTGCTTTGGGTAAAAATCGATCGTCCCATATGTTGTTCTGGCTAACATATGTCCTTTTCTAATGTTTCCTTCCAACCAGTTGACTCCGGAGACGGGACCCCGACAGGGAGGAACCATGCTGACCATCATGGGGGAGAACCTTGGACTGCAGTTCAAAGACATCCAGAACGGAGTCCGCATCGGCAAGGTGGCCTGCAACCCTCAGGAGGACCAATACATCAGTGCTGAGCAGTACGTTGACACTATCTTTGTCTCAATCTGTCCTCTCCCACCCCTCACTCTCGGCCTCCCTGTTTCTAAGACTCTCTTCTCCAATGCTTGTCTTTGTCCAATATTGATGTGACACTGAGTGCTTGGCACTACACTGTAACTCTCTCTCAGACCTCTGTTTCAGTGAAAACTCCACCGGTTAAACTCCACTCTCCTCTTACAAACAAAACCAATTCATAACTGGCAGGTTCCTACCGTGTTTGGTACTGCCAGTAGATAAGTGCAGTCCATGTAGATCTGACAGTAGCTGAGTTTAAGTGCACCCTTTATATCACTACTAATCAAAATGATAGCTCCATCAGAGTTATATTACCTTATGTAATCACCTTCAGAATGAATTTGGCCCGTTCTGAGAGAAATGTAATGGCATCTGAAGTGGGCCGTACATATCTTCTATAAAACTCCTCCACAGATGAAAGCTTGTCATGTGAACGCTCCCTCTGATTAAATGATGTTTACTGATTTCTGGGAAATTCAGAATCACGATGGTTGCTGCTGGGTGAGGTTAACTCCCATTTAATAACTGAAGTAGTCTTTTCTAAGAAAATTTTTTTTTTTTTTTTACCGGCAGTAAACACACAAAGTTCCTAGTTGTCTCTTGATAAATATCATGGGATATGAGTTATTAGATTTCATTCAGACTAGGGAAAAATATACTTAATAACAGCCAGTGTGACGCACTGCCATACAATAACTACCCAGAAAGATCTGGGCCTTCAGTGAAACTGCTAAATAAGTAACCATTTTTATTTTCTGTTAAATTCATCTAGAAGCAGAGAAAATACAATTTAGGGTGAGGAAAAATCGGGGCTGCTCATCACAGCTGGAGGTGTCCTAAATATTCCATTTCCAACTATGTAACTGTCATTTGTACACAAATGCTCCATTTGCTGCACAGTCCCAGCAGATTTGGTTTTCCCTGCCCCCTCACTAAGAAAGAAACTAAGAATTGTATGACTTTGATGATTTGACAGGCACAACAACACGATGCTCTGCATTTCTCGTCTGCGATGACGGGTGTCGAAATATCATAGTGACATGTCAGCCTTGATTTCTAATTTACAACCTCATCCATTGTATTGACGCAGAACATCACATTTCTTTCACTCCGGCATGGAACCGTGGAGTAATATTAGGATGTTCTTATTATTTCTTCACCACATGTTAATTTTGTCCTAGCGATCAAATCCAAAACCACCAAGGTGTCTATGTTTAACCCCGTCAACCCCTTAACGCTGCATTGGCCAGTTGCCATAGCACCGCAGTAAAAGAGGGTGTGGCCGGCACTGAGGCTGTCATGCTAATTAAAAGTGATGTTAGCCATACGCTGGCATTAGTGGTCCGTTGCTCTCCTCATTCCCGTGACCCTATCAGATCTGCAGCAGAAGAGACAGGACAGGGTTACGGGACTGACAGCCTAGATCAAAGGTCAGCTGGTGGAGGGGGGGAATAGAAGGGGCCGCACTGACTGTTGGGCGAAATGTAGACTCTTTTTTTATCTTGTTCTGGCTATCTCTTTCTCTCTGAAAGCACTTGTTCTTCATCCAGCCTGTGCAAATTGAATTGCAAGAAAATGCAGCACTTCTGGCCCTTTTTAGTATTAGTAGGCTTGTCATTCACCTCTGTCATTAAATATTCACGAGATTCCACATTGAGAAAAGTCAATTATTGCCGGCAGTGAGGAAAAACAGAACCTGGTATAACCTTTTTATTGCCTTATTAGTGAATTCAGTTTGACAATTTGGTATATGTTTAATTTTTAACCATCAAATTCCACCGGAGTTATTTGATTGAGGGAGGTATAATTCCTAATGTTGTTATCCTTACAAATGCACTGTGAACTCTCTGTCTCTCTAACCACGTAATAACAGCTCGATGTAGCCACCTGTCATCTGTGCAGTAATGAGGCGAGCGAAGCCGCAGTTTCTAACTGAGAGCTGTCCAGCATTTTAATCATGTCATAGTGGGAGACCTGGGAATAAATGAAAGAGAAAATAAAAACAATGGAAACAAACGGCATCGGAATGTGAAATTCACTGTGGCCGCAGTTGCCATGGCCACCTGCAGGGAGGATGGAAGCAGGAGAGTGAATAACTCATCTCGGGGAGGGAGGGAAGCTGGGGAGATGCGCAGGATATGAGCTCGTTCAATTAATCAGCCTCTCCCACTTTAACCCCCTCTCTCTCTCTTTCCTTCTTTCTCCCTCTCTCCTCTGAACTATCGCCCTTTCTCTCTGTCTCATTCCTTCGCTGTGGCTAATTAACAGTCAAGTGTGTCTCCAGTGTGTGAAACATGAAGGAAGTGTGTGAGTGTGTGTGTGTTCACCCTCGGGCTACACCGCCACTCCTTCCCTCATTCAATCATTTCTCCAGTGGATTTTCATTTGGCCAGCCAGCACCCAGGGCCAAGTGTGAAGCTTATGGTTCTACAGTACGCACTAATACACACACACACACACACACACACACACACACACACACACACACACACACACACAATTTCCCACTGCTTTTTGTTATCTTTATGAACGAGGCTTTAGAAGCAGTTTATTATTTCCCCCTCTGTACCTTCTTAACTTGGCCTCTGTCTTCCTTCCATCTCATTATTAAGCAAACATGGAAGCAGATCTCTTAACATCCCCACATGTGTTTGTGTTGCTGTGATTATCGTACTCATCTCTCCACCTCTGTGTTTCACTTTGTTTTTAGGATTGTGTGCCGGCTGAATGATGCAACAGGTTACAGAGTGCAGGAGGCTCAGGTAGAAGTGTGCGTTAGGGACTGCATTCACCCAGACTACAAAGCCATCTCAACCAAGGCCTTCACTTTTGTGGTAAGTTTGTGTGTTGGATCGAATTATAGCAAAGACAAGATTTCTGGATGTATTTTGATGTTATTTTGGAAATCTCAGGCGCCCAGCAGCCATGATTTATTCACCTTTACTCTGCCTGTGTCTCTCCTTAGTCTCCGTACTTTACACGGGTCATTCCTTCCACTGGGCCGCTGTCTGGAGGAACAAGGATTACTATTGAAGGCAGTAATCTCAACGCAGGCAGTTCTGTAGCTGTGAAGATAGGACTCAACGCATGCCGCTTTGAGAAGTAAGCAAATCCAAATTATGTAAAAAATGTATGTTTGTTTGTTAGCTCATAGTTGATAACAATTTGAAGTGATACAAGTGATTGAAAACATGTATACAATTATTTAAATATCTATGGAGAACAATGTACGTGTAGTGTTACTTTTGCAAGACTTGAACATTGAACGTAGCTGATTTCGCTACTGAAAAACAGGGTCAAATTGTAAAAGAAATGGTGTCATTCAGGAAAGTTTGTTTTTGCGTTCCTCTGGGGACAATTACAAGTTATAATGATTTATCCACCCATTTTTACTTTTGCCACATGCCATCTCTTCCTGCTTGGATAATTATAGTAATTCCCTGTTCCATGTTTTAAAAAAAAATACCTTTCGGTCGCTGCCATTGATTTGCGGAAGGAATAGAAAACGCTGCTGGCAAGAGGATGATCTGCAGTAATTCACAGCAATTGAGAGAATGACAGTGTAGCCTTTCTCTGGGAAGCTGATATCATTGTTCAGTTTAGCTGTGAGTGATCTAAGTGCATGGCCCACCTTTTGTCAGGACTATGACTATAATTTGTAAGGAATGATATGGTGTTGCTGGTAATTGGTAAGTCACATATTTCCTGCTTTTAACTCATGTTTGAATTTTTTCTCTAGTTTTTAGAACAATCTGCCACCGTTATCTTTTCACTGTTCCTCACTCTGTAAGAGATTGTGCCTGGATTTCATGAAGAGGAGACAAAGATCCAATTTGATATGACTCTAATTCCTTGAGCCAGGAACTGTATTGTTTCCTTGAGTCCCTTCTGGCAAAAGTGACAGCAAACTGAGCTCTGGACTCAATCCACTCAAGTACGCTGTCTTGCAGATGGCAGAGAAGAGAAAGCAGAAACTATTGTAAAAATATAGGAATGTCTAGGCTGACTAGCGAAAGAGACTACTGGTCACAGTGAGAACAGTTTAAAGTCTTCCAATAGAAATTTCCATTGGAACTGAGGCACTATTGTTTGTTTGTGTTTTTTCTTTCTTGTTTCTCTTTTAAAGCAAGTTCTCTGTATCACTGGTGTTTCTTTATAGTGGTTCCCCTTCTCCCAGGCAACAAGTGACAAGTTAAACTAATGAGCTTGGACCTATCAAGCTCTTTTTATATCATATCAAAAGAAAAAGTAAATGCCAATTTAAAGCTCTGTAGCCCATCCTGAGAAAGGTGAACTTAATAGTCCTGGCCTTTCATTCGCTGAGCAGCAATAACCTTTATGGCCAAAGTAATGAACTGGTTGAGTCCATCTCTATAATGTGTCTTTGTATTCATTGGGGCCTCCGCTTTAATCAAAACCTATTTACCCCAAGTCACTCATCCTCTTATCTCCTTCTGCAAACCCGTTTCTCTCCTTTTCTTTTCTTCCTTTTTTTCGAATCCCCTCTTGGCTTTCTTTTGTGTGGCCGCAACCTTGTCAAAAATACATACGCGGCACCACAGGGGCTCTCGGCGGCGACAGTGTTGTGAAAACGGTTGCCATGGAAACGTAGCACTAGTGGAATGTAGAACACTAGTTATGTATTTTTTAAACCGTCCCCTTCATTTTTTTCCCTTCTATCTTTGCCTATCTTCAGTCCAAATTGCCTCATGGGAGAAGGCAGGCTTCTGTCCCACAAAGATGACCAATGCTCCTGTTTTTTTTATTCTGCTTTCTTTTGCCTCAAAAACCCAACTCCACCTCTCCGCAAAATCCTCCAAAATAGGTTTTTGCTATTAGACCCTCTCCATCATCCATGTTTCTTTGGATTTCACTCCGACGGCAGATAACGGAGGAGGATTTGTGTACCAATCAGCTTTTCCTACTCCTGTTCTGGATTTCACTCAGCGCCTCCTGCCTCCATGCCTGCATAATGCACACACACCCGTTCACTCACACTTGTAGTTCACTGTTGGATGTTAGCAGACGACAAATGACACAAAACACATACTTACACAATGTTAATCTTCTACTTGCACTTTATTTATATGCAAATTCAGACTTCTTCAGAGCCATAGCACCTGCTCCACACACCGGTATGCACACACACACACGCTCATGTGCTGTCTCGCAGGTAGCCATACTCCCGATGCTCGGCCAGCAGTGTCTCTGGGGAGGGGACGGGGGAGTGAGCCACTGGAGTGGAGCACAAAGTTTCTGGCAGTGGCACAAAGTTTCCCAGCAGGTCACAGCTGGCCGCCTGTCTGCTTGGGAGGGAGTTACATCACACAGAGAGACGACCAGCCTGATCTGCCACTTCAGATCTATCAGCCAGAGAAAGCGCAGGAGGGAAGGAGAGACATAGAGAGAGAAAAGGAAAGGGAGACAGAGCTTTGAAGTACAGCACTCTGTGATTCGGATGATGAAACCACGGCTGGACCGACTGAAAGATGTCAGCCTTGTGTATAGGCAACTGTGTCACCATTTTGCGTGTGTATGCAAGCCTTTTGTCGCAGCTGATAAATAATGTATGAGTTATTTAAGGGATGAAGTAGGATTCTTTTTTTTTGGTCCCTTGCACTTGCTTGAGATTTTATTCTGTGTGTCTGTCTCTCAGCCTGTCAGAGAGGCAGCTCCTAAATACTCAAAATCCTTTTCAAGATCTTCTGGTTTTAAGCACACACTCACCTTTAAGAAAGACTGTTGAAAGTAACATCTCTTTTTTTCTCCCCCTCCTGTCCTCCCTATCTCTTTCATCTCCTGCTCTTCCAGGCGGAGCAACAGGGAGATAGTGTGTGTGACCCCATCAGGACAGATCTCAGGAAATACTCCGGTCATGGTGGACATCAACTCTGCCGAGCTGAGGAACCCAGAGGTTAAGTTCAACTACTCGGACGATCCCACCATCCTCAAGATCGAGCCCGACTGGAGTATCGCCAGGTGAGGACACAATCAGGTCCTTTCCGTTAGCTTGTCTGGGCGCAGCAAAGATGAACTTTTAGAATGAATGTGGAGGATTTTCTGTGATGATTGGAAGCTTTAAGCTCTTTCAAAACTAAGACTGCATGATTGATTAATTCCAGATACTGCTTACATCGTTCATGTCAACCCTGATAGTGATACACACTGAATAATTCAGGTGAAAGGTTTGAAAACGGGCAAATCTTTTCATAAATAGATGTAATTTTCCGATTTGACTATCTAACTCCATCTGCTATCATCGTATAATGTCATATGATTATTTCATTATCTATAATTCACATCATCAACACACTGTTTGATCAACAATTCAGCTTGATGCACATCTATAGAACAAATGCATCTATACATTAATTATCCATGATGGTGGACTTGCTATACATTAATGCATTTTTTCAAGGAGCATAGCCAACTAAACTGGAATATGAACTCCTCGAGAAATACTCCACGGCTGGGTCCCGAAGCAAAAACTAACTAAATATTCTTCTCCATTTCCACTCTGGTTTGCTTTTCAAAGGCATATTATGTATTCTGTTTATCATTATGTTTCAAAAGTAAATCTTTGAGAGCAGGAACAGCAGTAAAGTAGCTTCCTGAAGCATCGCATTTCTACAGTTGATGAGCTGCAGCAGAGATGTATCTGTAAATATTACTTGACTTATTGAAATGAGATTGCATAGCCACAGGAAGATTTCCTGTGCAAACACAAGCTGTGTTGTGGAGGAAAACAAAAAAGCTTGCTGCTTCCAAGTGCTAATGGGCTCACTAGCATGACCTAGAAACTCCATAGCTCAGAAACAAAGACAGCACATACACACAAGCACACTGTTGACTCTCTCATTTAACTTCAAAAGTATAGTTCCAGGAAATTGTCATATATTATTTTCTAAAGTCATTTTTTTTTGTTGCATTTACATAGAATTCTCGTATACAGGCTATATTCAAACACTGGATGCATCCCAATAAATAGCCATGGATCTTGGTGGAGGTGCATGGCTCTCAAGGCTAATCACGCTTTTTATTTAACAAGCTGTTTGTCGCCGTTGACCCTGTTGTCAGGGTGATTCTTCGACAGAAACAAGGGTTCTTTTTCAGTCAAACTTTCCAGACGTTAAGTCATATTAAATACACTGCAGGTATTTCTTATTAAAAATCAGGTATTGGGAAGAGGTGATCATATATGTATTGTTTTGATATACAAGCAACTCTGTGGCTTGTCAATTATATATTTGGATGGATATCCTCGTGGATTCATCTTCCTATTATACACACATGCATTTCCAAACATTTGGTCTACCTATGTTGCAAATGTATTATATTTTCAATTTACACACGGCATCTATTGCACGTCTGTCCGTCCTGGGAGAGGGATCCCTCCTCTGTTGCTCTCCCTGAGGTTTCTCCCATTTTCCCCTTTAAACTGTGGGTTTTCTCTGGAAGTTTTTCCTTGTACGATGTGAGGGTCTAAGGACAGAGGGTGTCGTATTGTCATACTGATATTCTGTACAAACTGTGAAGTCCACTGAGACAAATGTAACATTTGTGATATTGGGCTATATAAATAAACATTGATTGATTGATTGATATATTCCAGGTATTTACTTAGGAGTTTTGCCCTTAAATAGAGCCTACTTTATTTGTTTCCACCAGACTCTTTGTCTGTTCAGACAGTGTAACAATCCACTGCATTATCGCAAGGGGTTGAGGTGAAAATGGAAGCCACGTTTAAAACTCTGCAGGGAGACAAAGTCTCTTATCATGCAAAAGAGGTGTGAGTGGATGAGAAATCTCATTTGGAATAAGATGAATGAAATGTTGAGGTGAGAGGGAAACAGGAATGAAAGTGTTGGTTCCAGCCTTGGGGGGATATAACCTCGGCACTCGGCTTGTGTTCTGTGTTTCGCTCAGCGCTCCCAGAGGAGGAGGTGCATGGTTCTCCAGACCAATCACGCTTTTTATTTACCAAGCTATTTTGTCACCGGTGACCCTTTTGTCAGGGCGATTTCAAACAGCGCTTAGCTGACATGACTCAGACTTGTTTCCTTCCTTTCAGGAAGAGTTCTCAGGCTAACAACGAGGACACATTGCACTGCAGAGATTGCGCGACACTCCACCTTGTTTACACAGTGCACTCGGTACAATATTATAGTGTACACTGTATATGTGTGGAAAAGATTTGTATCCTCTCACAGAACTAATCTTGAGCTGCTGCATATTCAGAGTTGCCTCTACATTTCTATTCCACAAACAAAGGTGTAACTGTATGTACATATTCTAAACTCCTACTGGCTTTTCACACCAGCTTCTATTTACTACTTAAACATTTGTCACCCTCCTTTAAGCCTTCTCAAAAACCCGAAGCCATCCTTTGCCTCGCGTCCTGCTAGCTTCTCCCCCTCCTTCAGGGCCATTTTCACCTTCAGGCCAGCAGGCCCCATCTGGTCCACTAAAAACAGGGACAACTCCCTGGCTGTGAATGTTATGTATTGTGTGCCCTGACACCATGTATATTTATACTTTAAGATGCTCCAGTTCCACCATGGAATGGATGTAATGTTCTGTTGAGTATATCACAAGCCCTCAGCTGCCACTGCTCAGAGAACAACACCAGAGCCACTGAGAAAGATAATAACAGCAATTATACCATGATACAGAATATGCTCATTTTCTGGTGTCTCATTGCCTGCATGAAATCAAGCCATATACCAGCCAGTATATGATTTTTTTTAATAGTGGTGAGTCACAGTGGCACAATGCTTCAAGCCTCGCCTTACCCCTCTCCAGTTTTAGGTTGTGTGCTGACTTATTTAGCTGCTGTCAGAACACCTCGCATCAGATAAAGTTCAGCCTCCCAGGCTAGCGCGGGCTGTCGAGGAGGCATTGTGGGGGAATAGGACTCTCACCCATATTAGCTATGTCAATGCCGGTCAGTCACAAAGACCTATAGGTCAAAGGTGTAAAGGTTATAGCACATGTCGCATCACAGACAGAGGTGCAGTTTCCGAGCGTGTTTCAAGCTGAAAAATACCGCAGTGCAACTTTATTTCACTCTGAAAATGTATCCCGTGGATTTTGTGAGGTGCTGAAGAGAGGCCAAAAGCTCTGGCTCTCAGGACTAATGCTACATATTCGCTGATTCTTCCCTCCAACCTCCATATCGGTTTAAAGAAGCTTTTAACATTCATGCGAGGGCTTTAGCATCACTATCATTACCTGAAAATGGGCTTCCATGAATAAGCAGGCGAAAGGCTACTGCAGGAGCGAGCTTTAATGGTAAATCACCAACTGGAGGGCCCTCTTGGCTCCCACAGAGAACAGATTTATTAACATTTATCTCTACTGAAAGGCTTGTTGAATCGTATATGCACTTGGAATCTGCAAGACAAAAAAAAGGACGGCAGGAGATCCATGAATGTGTGACACACAGGTGCACATATACGAGGTTTTATTGTCCCAGTGCTATTGTATAACTGTTTGCTCTGATTTTCTATACTGTACAATAAGTCCTCTTTTCTCTTTTTTCAGTGGAGGAACCATGTTGACCATTACTGGAACCAATCTTGCCACCATCAAGGAGCCCAAAATGAGAGCCAAGTATGGATCTGCCAAGTCAGAGAATGTAAGTGGTGGACCCAGACACACGCACACAGTTTGTATTGACAAAACAAAAGAAACAGTGACTTGACTTGGCAAGTGTGTTGAGTGAGACCAATATAGACACACAGGTGTCTCTCTCTCTCCCTTTCTGTCTCTCCGCTGTCTCCCCCGCTGTGGAAAAACTGATTTTCAGATGTTGCACACACTCCTGGGACACAGACAGCGGCGCACACACCTGACCCGCCGGTCAACCAGCCAAGAGCCCATTTTCTGTTTGTTTTTGATGTTGAATTTCCTTTTAGCAGTTTAACCTTTGAAATGTCAACCAGCAATAAAGCAGCTCCGGCAAATCCCCCTCTCTTCACCTAGCACCACGGGGCTTAGCTAACCTTTCTCTCACTCTATACTGAAAGTAAAAATATCCCTTCTTTTTCCTTTGTCCCCTTCTCTGCAGTAATTTTGACTCCGCTTGGTTTATGTTTCTGTTGACCTATAAACACAGTTCTGTTTTGTTTCTTGATTTTTACACACGCTTTGTCTGTGAGGGTGTTAGTGTGTGACAGATAGAACATAATGTAAGGCTATAACATGCTGCGAAACTATTCAAAGGTCTGTTTAGCCACGCTGTATTATTGTTAACAGCTACCGGCTGACCTCTCCTGTTTCTCCGAGAGTCATTACAGTCCAATTTGTCGACTGATTTAAGAGTCGAACCCCACGGGGGATTTCCAGATGATATCAACACTGATTAGAACACCGCTGTTATTAAGCCAGCCTCTTCCTCATTATGTCATCACTGGTATCACATTACCCTGTTTAAGCTATCATATACAAATACTGTTTATTATGTATTTGCTCACGGGATCTTTTGTGTAATTATTTTAAAATGTACCTTTTTTTTTTATGTCTTAAATGATTTAGAAAGGTTGAAAGTTAGGAAATGAAATCAACTCATGTACATTTATTTCAACGTTTGTATATTGTCCCCCCTCTTCTCATTCCCTGCCTCCTTTTCACTATCCTCTTACCCTCTTTCTCTCCCGTCCTGCCCTTCTGTAGAACTGCACGGTTGTCAGCAACACGGTGATGGTGTGCCTGGCGCCCTCTGTGGCCGGATCAGAAAAAGGTTTCTCGGATGTGGGCAGCAGTCCTGATGAGATCGGCTTTGTCATGGACGACGTGCGCTCTGTGCTGGTGGTAAACGAGACTTTCAGCTACCACCCGGACCCCGTGTTCGAACCTCTGAGCCCCACGGGCATGCTGGAGCTAAAGCCCAGCTCACCACTCATACTCAAGGTAAATTGCATTGTGCTCTGTGCATTGATCTGTTTGGGCCTGGTCTCTACCTGGCTTTGCTTTACATCCATCACATCTTTTCTCTTTCAAGTCTCCTCTTCAATTTTCTTCGATTTCTTTCTTTAGCTTTCCTTCACATTTTTTCTTCCCCTGTCTTTTACCCTTTTCTTTCTTAATGCCCTCTCAATCCACTTTTGTCTTTTGTTCCTTTTAGCCTCTATTCTCTCAACACTTCTCTGATTGTATTTTCTGCTGTCTGTCGTCTCTCCTTTCACAGTATAAAGGACCAAATGGCTCTAATTACCAAGTGGATGGTGTTAGAGTGAATTCTTGGGTGGTTTTGAATTAAATCTTATATTGAAGTTACTCTGTCAAAGTAGTGAAATACATTTCTTAAAACCCACTGGGATTCGAGGACCAAAAGGATGTTTATTAAGTGTTAGTACTGTTCTTGTCATGTTTAGTTGCCTCGGCATTCTTAACAAAATATTTTAGAAAATGCTGCAACAACCTCCCAGTCAGCATCCAACACAACTGATAAGAGGCTGTCAGACATTTGAAATGATGTGCTCCAAACATTCCTGTACAGACACTTTGAGCCCTCCTTTCTCTTGATTTAAGAGTTTTTCTTTCAACACAACCGCCCTTCAGATGTTTTTCCACCTTGGAAGATGTTATTTCTTCACCTGCTTCTTCCAATTGGGTTTGGAGACCTTTAAGAGAAAACAAATCTCTTCCAAAGCGCCCCTTTTAAAATCAGGTGCAGGAAAGGAAAGTAATGTTTATAAAGTGGACCCATGTGTTGCTATGCCACCTGCTCAGATTTTTATCAGCTATCTTCTGAAGAGAGACTTCATAGCCATGTTTACTCTAAGCCAGAGACAGAATGCTTTTAAATCCAGAGTGCATTTATAAAGGCTAAGCCCCACCCACCCACGCTGTCTTTTGTCATTTAACCTCTCCCCTCGAACTTCAAAGCATCTGGAGCAAAATAGAAAATTATCATGCAATTTCATGAAAGAAAAGCCTTTTTCCTCTAGACCAATCAGGGTGGAGTTTAAGAAATAAAGAATCACGCCTTTGTAACTTTAAATATCATTCTTTATTGAAAATCTCTGATTGTCCCACCTCGCTCCGAGTAAAGAATTGCAGAAATAAGCAGCGCAAAAAATGGCATCCTATTAAATAATTGAAGGAAAATCAGACATTTTCGAAGCAATTATGTCGTCCTACCCTGCAAAGCAAAGCGATTTCAGATGAGGAGGGGGAGGAAGAGATGGCAGAGGAGAGGAGGAGAAGGAGAAGAATCTCTGTAGATTTTATTTAATGTAATCCTTTTTTTTGGCAGCCCTTAGGCAATAGATTTGGATCAAATAATCTTATGCTTATTATATTTACTACAAAAGTATAAAGTTATTCTTTTTAACTGAGGAGAATTGTCAGAGACTTATGAAAGAGTAAGGAAAAGTAGGATGTCCAGAGGATTTTCATGATCAGTCATTTTCGTGCAATGTCTCCAACGAAAAGTGTAAAAGCACTGTTGCTATGACTACCTGCAGTTTAAAGTACCTTGCACAATGTGGCTGAATTGTTGACGGACACGTTGCAGCCTATCAGAAACAAATGCTTTTTTCCACAGCAAAACCCATAGTAACAGTGAATCCTTTTGTGCTGATATTAATGTATTAATGTGAACCTATATTTCAACCATATGTAAGTAACTGAAACATGTGTGTGTCTGTTTCCAGGGCCGTAACCTAATTCCTTCAGCCCCGGGAAACACCAAGCTGAACTACACGGTGCTGATCGGGGAGACGCTCTGCATACTCACTCTGTCCGAGAGCCAGCTGCTGTGTGAATGGCCCAACCTGACCGGAGAACATAAAGTCACTGTAAGTGAAAATGTAACTTTGTCTAGAATGACTGTTTGTTGTATGATTTCCCCATTGTGGGTTTGGGTTGTCACACAAAGCAAATCATCGGACCATATGGGGAAAGGTTTGGATACAGCCATAAAAAAAAAATGAAAAGGAGTATCATCTGTCTTTTTCTGTCTTCCGTACCTGTTAGTTCATCATCCAGCTTGATTATTTTGTCTTGCAACCTCTGGAGCATCTGGTGTTCGCATGTCTTTCAGCCGCTCAGCCCATCTTCTTCTATAGTTCCAGTTTTCAGTGCAGTTTCCGCTGTGCTATTCATCTCCCCCTCTTTATGTCAATCCACTTCCTGCCTTCCCATTCATTCATCTCATTATTTCCTCCCCAATCCATCAGTCCTAAATCTCTTTAATTGCTCTAGATTTCTCTTCCCCATTCATATATCTGCTCTCACACAAACACACACACACACATCTCTTACACGGTGTTTGCGACTGTATTTATGTCTTTGAAGATTTTGATCGGGCTCGTTTGGCTGCCATCCTCCTTGGGATTTGAGCAGTATTGATATTCAATAGAGACCAAAAAATGGCTAGTGGGCGTGAGAGGTCTGAGTCTATTTTTACCCTTTTCCATTTGGTATTCCATAGATGTGAGCCAGTTGAATATGGAATAAAAGAAAAAGAAGACAGGAGTGAAAAAGCATATCCCAACGTTTTTTTTACTTACGTGTTCTGTAAGCCATAACTGTTTCGATGTGATATCGTGGAAAGTCGTATGTGTGTGTGACTGTGTGTACTTGTTCACTGGTTCCAAAGACAGCCCCAGGGCACAGATGTTGCCTCCCCCAACCCAGATAGAAAGGCTTTTAGGGAGTTTTGGCCTGCACTTGGCTCAACTCGACACAGCTTGGTTTGCCAGTATAAATGCAATGTGGGATTTAGCAATAGTGCCTTGCAGAATGTATTATTACTTTATTGGATTTATAGCAGTTGCGGCCAGGTGTAGGCCTAAAATTGCCTGTATGTGTCGTCGATACAGATTCATAAAAACATATAATCCTGTATGATGTTCACATTTTCATTTTGGTAGCAGCAAAACGCTGAGTGAAAATGGCTTACAGCTTCAGCTTGGAACCCTTCCTAATTCTGCTGCATACAGATCCACATCCTTTTTTTATGTGGTCTAACATTTGTGTGTGTGTCTACTAGGTGCGTGTTGGAGGCTTTGAATACTCTCCGGGGACGTTGCAGATTTACTCAGACAGCCTGCTCACCCTGCCCGCCATCATCGGTATTGGAGGAGGTGGCGGCCTGCTCCTGCTGGTTATCATTGTGGTGCTGATTGCCTATAAGAGGAAATCACGGGATGCCGACCGCACCCTCAAACGCCTGCAACTGCAGATGGACAACCTGGAGTCCAGGGTGGCACTTGAGTGCAAGGAAGGTGAGTTACGACCATACTTGATCATCAAAAAGGGTGACACTCAAACCTAAAAAATTACTTTCATATTTATTTGTTTCACTCTGCAAGTTTCTTTCCATTTTTCCTCCCAAATAACTTTCCATGTCCCAAAAGAAATGTCTGTAAATCGGTCTCTCGCTGCAGTTTACCTTATAAGCTGCACAACTCCCATTCAATAGTCCTTTCCATTTCTCCCTTCTTTTTTTTTTCTCTTTCACTCTCTATTCCCCCTCCCTCTCACTGCCACCCGTCCCCCTGCTGTGAGGTGGCAGCAGTGTGTGTGTGCGTGGGTGTTGGTTTGTTTCCAAAGGAGTACTTTGATCTGAGCCAGCCACCAGATGTTGGCTCTCCACCCCACGAGAGAGCTGCCTGGCTGGCCTTACTAGCATCCACACTGAGAGAGGGAAGGGGGGAGATGGAGGTTAGATAGATACAGGGCACAGAGGTGGGAAAGTGAGGGGTAGTAGTATATTAGCATATATTCATTTGGCAGGAAACGAGCATGGATCCAGGGAGAGTCTAGTGATGCTGCTACTGGTTTGTCTGGCAAGAGAGAGAGAAGCAGATGGGGAGAAAGAGAAGGAGAATACTGATAACCATGATCATCACAATACATTTTGTATGAGACCACTTCACTTGTTGCACTGTAAACATCTAATATACTGTCACAACATGAATACACTGTTACTGGAGCACAAGCATATAACAAACAATATTAGCTAAAGCTCCATATTCAAGGATAATCCTCTTTATATATATATATTTTTAAACAATGAAGCATTGCATTCAATACATTTCAGAGACAAATATAAAATGGTCAAAGTTAATGCAACAATGGCCGAGAAATCCTCACTTCTATATTATGGGTAACTTTCAAAAAGGCCTGATCCTACACCTCCCATAATGCAACTTGTCTTTGTTTTTTATGTTTGATCTTTAGTGAATGTAGCCTTGTTCCAGACTTTAAAATTGCCGACGGCTGTGAACAAATCAGAGCTTTGATGGCATGATTAAAAATGATGATATCATCGATTTAACAGAAATAACAACTCAGAAGATGACACTCAGGTCCTCATGCGTTGCTCTTTTGCAACTACTCACAATCACACACACACACACACACACACACACACACACACACACACACACACACACACACACACACACACACACACACACACACACACACACACACACACACACACACACACACACACGTATACTGCAGGTCATACAGTGATTGGCTGGGGTCTGTGGCAGTGAGTCCAAGTGCCCTGACCCTGTCTGTCCCCTGCCGTCACCACTGTCGTGAAGACGACAACAGGATGGATGGGAGGAGGGGGGACAAAGCAAAGGAGATTAATATGGAAGACAACTAGAGAGAGGAGAACGGGAGGGGAGGTGGGCAGTGAGGAAGGATGGATAGGATGATAATAAGGAGGGAAAAAAACAAGGGCGAAAGCAAATAGAATCTAAAGTAGAGGAAGAGAGAGAAGTTGATCTGAAGATAGTGGGAGATAATTGGAGGTGGATGAAGCAACCTAAATATTTGATTGCAGAAGGCGCTGGTGAACAACTAAGAAGACAACATGGAGTGAAAAGGACAAGGGAATAAAATATGTGGGTTAAATAAATAAGGGATGAATGGTAGGGATGTGTAGTGAACCCCTTCTTTCCAAGTCCTGGGCACCAAACAGAAAAGTATTGAATATATGGATGAAGTAAAAAATAAATGATCAGAAGAGATGTGGCAGGCAAGGGAAAAAAGAGACTGATTAGTGATGCAGAGAGAGACGGATGGCACGAGTGAACCAAACAAACAGAAAGATGGAGGGATGCACATGTAGCAGAGGAGAAGCAACCATAGGGGAGAGGGAGGTGACCTCTAAGATGTCACTTTGGAGGGAGGAAGGAGAAAGAGAGATAGGCAAAGGGGAATAGGGTGACACAAGCCATCTGTTAGTCTGGGCTCTGGTTCGTTATTTGTTTTGGTTGTGTATCCATGTGTTGGTGCATTTTGGGTGACACTATAGGGCACACACAGTGGAGTTAATGAAATCATGGAGCTTTATATTTAGTATTTACAAAATAGAAGCAAAGCAGTACAGCAAGGTCTATTCACTATTGTATGGTGTGTGCAGGAAAGGATTTTATCCCATTTGTTCCCTCTAGATGTGACTTGTGAGGCCACTGGAGTATACAGAACGGGGTCAGAACACACGCTTGCTGGGAACGGGAAATGTGTAAAAACACTGACACACGGACTCACATTAATCATCTGGGCACTAGGTTATGTGTTCAGCTGTGGGGCAAGACAAGAAAAAGTGTGTGTGTGTGTGTGGCTGCTCGAGTAAAGGCATGTGAGGTAGCAGTGTGTTATGTGTGTGTGTACTCACATGCTCAAGTTCCTGTGTGCAATTCCATCCTGAACTCCCCTCCAGCCACTGAGAACCTCAGCGTTTCCTCCGCCCTTCTCTCTGCTCTCAGCACACAGCGATAACATGATGCTGCTTTTCAAAGCTACTCCTCCACACGCCTCCATCTCCTCCTAACTTCTCACCTGTGTTACTGCTCTAAAACATGCTGTTGCTGCTAATCAGATTTACAGATGTACAATGCAACATAAAGAGAGGCTGCTCATTGCACATTTACCCAGGTGTTATAAGTTGGATTATAGTGCAATGTTAAGCTTTTTCTTTATATATCTTTTTTGTGCTTCCTGTTTCTTAATTTCTCGATTTTGGGGGGAGAAAAACAACTATTACTTGATAACACAACCTTTGCATCTAAATAAATGCTTATTTGCTACTCACCGTTTCCAATTGATAACACACAACACTGTTTTAACCTACAAGACGATTGGATACAATGCGATCGATTTGATATGATAATAGCTTATTGTCAGATCAAGTCTGAAATGTTACTTTCCATTACAGCTTCATTTGCAACATCAACAAGGACAAATGTTACTTCTAGCAGAACTTTTTCATAAAAAGTGCGTGTTGGCATCTGAGGAGAGGTGTTTTACATTTCTATAAGTACTGCTATATTTGGGTTAAATGATGAGCAAGAAACCAGACTTTAATCAGGGGACTTAAAATGGCTGTTTGGTGTTCGGCCACAGCAGTGAAATGCAAAATCCCAAACAGAAGCCTGATTATACTTTTTTGTCAGAATCAATAAAATCAATGCTGTAGGCTATAACTATGTAAAACAGTGTTTTTCATTCGTGTGCAATTTAAAGTCTATATTAAAACAAAACGTTCAATCCTGCAGTAAACAACCCTTATAGTACAATATGTGTTTCTAACCATTACTTGTCTTGTTGCACAGCCTTTGCAGAGCTGCAGACAGACATCCATGAGCTGACCCAGGAGCTGGACGGGGCAGGAATCCCCTTCCTGGACTACCGCACCTACGCCATGAGAGTCCTCTTTCCTGGGATAGAGGACCACCCAGTGCTCAAGGAGATGGAGGTACGGGTCAGTAGAGGGCACTCCGCTCACTTTCTCACATAAATACTCACTGGGAGAACTCAATGTTTGTTTGGATACTTCATTAGAAATGGTCTAATTGGACCAAGTAAGGAATCTGCTAAATAAATGGGGGAAAATCAACCGTTTGATGAAGATCGTGGTTCTTTTTCTAAGGATTTATTTTTCTTTTGTAACTCATTTCTACAGTTCAAAAAGGTTACAATGTTCTGTTATCTGTATTAAGTCTTGATATAGGCTTTTAAGAGGGGTTCAACTCCACACTGAGACAGACATGTTGAAATCCATGATTCATCCACATCAATTTAACACAGTCTCTGTTAGAGGAAGGGAGAAGTCAAAAGCAATCAATACAAGTGGGAGTTTTCAGGAATTATTTGGGAAGATGCGTTATACAGTATCAGAGGTGAACCTGAACATGCCCACCAAACTTATTTTATCTTCAACTGTTCTTTAGAGAACTAGAAAGAAAAGGTAACTTGGTTGACAGAAGCTCTTGTAATGCAGTGAAGGGAGCGAGCACTGTCCGAGCCCCTAAGACTCTGCAGGTGATATATTGCCTCTACAGGACCAAGCCTGTTTGAGGCTCATGAAGAAGCAATGTTCACCCATTCAATAAAACACTCTCCTCTCTACTACTGCTCCCTTCTCACGAGGGAACACTCTATCACTCTCTGTGGAAACTGTAACGCAGCATGGATTTGTACTTCCATCATTTCTCTATATACATTAGACTCTCATCACATGCATCACGTAGAAATGCCCCGTTGACTTGCATGTAAGGTGGCGGCTGCAGGGAGACATGCTGTATCTGCTTGGGCCATCGATGGTATTCCAAAGGGAAAGTGCAGCGCGACATTGGATTTTCATTTGTATGGCCCAGGCAATCACAGGCCACAGTAGTGCGCTAGCAAGCAGATCAATTTCTTATTACACAGTGAAGCTCACATTCTCACTTCAGATCTCCGTTTCTCTCCCTCAGAGGGGGAGACCTGCCCTGTGCTCTGAGAGAAGAAGAGAATCAGTAAAAAGAGAGGATACAGTGTGGAAGGGAGAGAGAACTGGGATACAGGAGAGAACATTGAAACAATGAAAGTGCAAACCCTTAAAGCCTTGTTTCTCTGGATGCATATTTGAGATTATTCTCTCCATTTCCTGGTACATTTTTTTGTGAGTGTGTCTGCATGTTGCCCTTTTGCCAATATTCCCTTTATCTAATATTCCTCCTTCTAACTCATACTCATCCATTTCTCAACTAACACTCACATCCTCCTTTCAATCCTGATCTCAACCTCTTCGATCTTTTCCATATCCCCCTTCCCTTTTTACTCATTTGCCCTTTTACAATTCGTGTGCATTTTCTTTGTTCCTCCTTATTTTCACTTCTCTCTATATTTCCATCCCTCTCTTCCACTAAATTCTCTTTCTCCCCTTCGTGCTGATGTAACACTACCTTCATCCTTACTCCAAACAACCCCATACCTTTTTTATTTCCCATATCCTCACGCTCTCTCCTCACACTCCTTCTCCATCATCACCTCTGTTGCGTCCTCTCCAGGTCCCCGCCAACACGGAGAAGGCCCTGACACTATTCGGCCAGATGCTGACCAAAAAGCACTTCCTGCTGACCTTCATCCGCACCTTGGAGGCGCAGCGCTCCTTCTCCATGCGGGACAGGGGCAACGTGGCCTCCCTCATAATGACGGCGCTGCAGGGGGAGATGGAGTACGCCACGGGGGTCCTCAAACAGCTCCTGTCCGACCTCATCGACAAAAACCTGGAGAGCAAGAACCACCCAAAGCTCTTACTCAGGAGGTACGAAAACACACAGATAGCTTTCCCACTAAGCTATGTCCCTTTGTTTTATACTAAGGGGACATACTGACTGGTTTGAAGCATCCTTGAGAAAAGGGAATTAGCACTTCTTTTAAAAAGGACAGAAATTCAACGAAGAAGCACATACAGTAGTTATACTCACTTTAGTACTAAAATAAGAACAGAATTGATGACAACATGATAGAAAAAGAGAATATGATGCTGTGTGATAATGTCAAGCTTTTAAATTTTTCTCTGGATAAAGTTATGGAAGACAGGGGACTGTGGCTTTTAGGGGCCTATGTGACGTTACCTCTTCTCTATCTCTCAACCTTGTCCCTGTCAGAGAGGATTACACCCCTGAGCACACACCTACTCCCAATGGAGCCGCAAACAGACACTCTCTCTCACACACACAGTGAGAAAGGTAGAAAGGGGAACAGTGCGAGGGATGGAGGGGATGTAAAGGAGAAGAAGGGGAGGATTTACAACGGAGGGGAAAGAGAGAGATGGGATTGGTAAAAGGGGAAGTTGTGCGGAAGTGGAGGAAAAGATGTGAGGTGACAGGAGAAGGCAGCGAGATAAAGGTGGATGGAGGAAAATGATGATTGACAGAAAGAGAGGGCAACATGTCTCGAGGGGGACTTGGGCTGAAGGCAAATGGATGGAGAGAGAGAAGAGGAAGGAAGAATAGAAAAGGCTGTAGGAAGGTGCTATATGGTGGAAGAAGAGAACACATAGGCAGAGGGAGAAAGAAAAGGAAAAAGAGCTCTTGCAGGGCAGGAGGAGACACACATATTTAAGGAAAGACACAATTAGAGAAATGGCCTGTCTCCATATAAATTGGAATTAGACATTAAATGATAAAAAAAAAGTTATGTTTTTTTTCTCCTCCTTCTCCTCTGAGAGATATTTAATTAAAAATCTAATCAAATAAATGACTCTCAGCCAGTGTGCTTGTGTGAAGCCTTTTCCAATCCCCTCTTGGGGCGTACGGTCACAACACGCTGTCCCTGCTAACTACACTAGCCTCGGGAGCTGGCGTTAATAAGCTCTGCAATTATAACACATGCTTCACCCTGATTTGGTCTTTTTCCTGCAATAGATAGACTTTAGAACAGTTTTATTTTTAAACATAGTACACAGAAAAGCAAAGTAGAAAGACTTAATAATCTGCTCCCATGTGGATTAACATCCCTATGGGTAAATAACGCTCTTGCAAAGGATGCTTTGTGTTTGCTTTGAACGTTATAGACTCGCAGTGTGTGTCCAGGAGAGCTGCATCATCACTCTAGTGGCGTAGTTTCCTGAAATGAGATGTTAAAAGTCGCCTACTACGGTGTTCCTGACATGGCCATAAGCGTGTTCTGTCCAGGTGTATTCGCCTCCACCGTCCTCCGTTCCCTGTAGCCTCATCTTTCATATATTTTGCTGACAGCCATGAGAAACAAAAACTGCTCCAAATACATCAAACACCACTCAGCAGTCAAAACTGGGAAGCTAGCGGAAGCGTAGGAGTTCACGTCTTGTTCCTGCTACAGGCCCTCACTGGTTCCACTGGCACATTGGCCTAGTCTCCTGTGTTTTCCCTTTCTATTTCTCAGCTGTCTAAAAATAAGAAATCAGTGCAAAGTTGACAAGAACAAATCTTCCTGCGCTGTCATCTCTCAACAGGATACGCCTTTCTTCACCTTTTCACACCTTGTGCTGTGCTAATGACAGGAAGACTAATATTAACACGAGTGTGGGCATGTGGCCCAGTTAGACAACTCAGTAACCCAGCAGCAGAAGGCTCTCGTGTGCACCCCCCATTCATCTTAGAGTAAACAAGGAATGGATAATTAAGCAGTCTTGCTGTTTCCCCCTAATATAAAAAGGAAAAGATGTTAGAAAGCGAGGAGGTAAATCTGAGGACGATGACGGAGAGAAAGAAATAATCACTTATTTTCCCGCAGAACCGTTAGCGCCGGTCTCCCTTTCAGCTGTTTAACAAATTAGACGCAATAAGTCCGTTAATTACAATGCCTTTTAATTGCTCTGCTTTCACTCGCCCGGTTGTTCACGTGTGTCCGCTCAGGAGCGTGCGGAGGCTTCCCTCATTACACGGCAGGTTTGTGATTAACGAGAGGAGTTAACGAATTATACTAATTGCTTTATTTTCAATAAATTTGCTTGAAGGAGGNGGGGGGGGTTTGGGGTGAAACAATGAAAGAAATGCAGGGGTTTGTTTTGCCAAGTTAATTTGTTTGCATGTGAAGATGGAGGGGGGGGGGTAAATAAGAGCAATGGAAAGGGCTCATCGGTTTGAAGGGTAACCGCACAACCACTGATAATGCAGCATGTTCTCTTTGATGTGCCGACGCGTCTTAAATGCCTTTTCCCCCTCATGATGAAAGTGTTGGTTTATGCCCAGAGATCCTAGCCCGGGGGGGAGGGGGATGGGGGGTTTGTTTGGGTTCTGTGTTGAAACAGGGAGTAGACATTTTGGGATGACTCCAAAAGCTCAGACTGTCTCGTGCAGAGGTGCTTCTTAGAAAGATAAAAAATGTGTTTGTTTTTCTTACTCTTTGTTTCCTTCCTTTCCCTGTCAATCTCTTATTTAATTGTCCTATTATTTTTCCCTCACCCTTCTCCTTTCTCTTTTTTCTCTCCCAGGACGGAGTCAGTCGCTGAGAAGATGCTCACCAACTGGTTCACCTTCCTGCTTTACAAGTTCCTCAAGGTAAAATAGTCCGTCACACAACAGGCAGCCACACACTAGTTTGGAGGAAATACTAACACCGCCTTTTGTTTGAGAATAGAAAAATGCTTCACTAACACACACACACACACATTCACAGCTGCAGCATTAGATAAGGCAGAGGCAGCAGGATACCTATCCCTTACCTCCGCCTTTCATGTGGTAAACTCTCCTTCCTCTGAATTGAGGAAGCTGCGGTGTGAAGCGCTGTTCACACACAGCTGGTCGTGTTGTTGTGATTGCCGTAGCCTGTCGCAATAACCTGTCCTCTCTTTGTGTCCCTCACTGGATTCTTTTACAGCCAAGAGTGTGTGTGTGTGTGTGTGTGTGTGTGTGTGTGTGTGTGTGTGTGTCCTTTCAAAGCTTTGGGGCTTAGCAAAAGAGGAAGGCAAAGATCTTACACAAATGCATACTCTTATTTCTTTGTCTGTCTGTTTGTCAATTATTTCTTCTTTTTGAATTCTTCTCCCTCTGATATGGAATCAAGGAGACTTATTGAGGCTTAAACGGTGTTAAATTCTTGTTCCACACACATTCAAAACACTCGCTGCAACTAATCAGTTAGCAGCGGGGCCTTAGACCCCCGCCAGGACAGGCATTCCGGTGGACAGCGAACCAGCCAAGCACCCGGGGGTCCCAGTTAGCATCTGTGTGTGTGTGTTGGTGTGTCTGTTTTGCATGTGCATGCATGTGTTTTGGCTCAAGAATGATTTGGGTTTATAGACAGGGAAGTGCGATATTATCGAGGATATTTTATACTTTACTGGAAACTAAAAACTGAAAGGAAAAGGCTGAAGGATGTAGAGGGAAAACGGTCAGAAGTGGTTATAGATAGGTGAGAGAAAGTAAAAACGTTTTTTAATTGAAAAACATGAACGAAGAGTGGAAGGGAAACTGAAAAAGACTGAAAAAAAAGCACTTCTGAAGCAAGGACCGCTGTAGCTAGCAGCAAGGTAACCAACCTGGCTTTTATCTAACCACTGCGATCCAGTGCCTCTCTTTCCCCTGACTGCTCACATAAGAGAAAGGCCTGAAAAGATGTCAAGGTTCAGCCAGGTTTGATTAGAGATGGGTAAAGGTCAAGTAGTTGTTCAAAGTGGAAGGAAATAGATAAAGCTTACCAAAGGGAACAGGAATAAGGGAAACAAAAAAGCTTGAATCCATGCCCTCACTCTAAGGGTTCACTTGTCCTGTCTTGTTTGAGAGGGTGAGGGGGGTCACAGGCTAACTCTATTTCTGTGTGTTGCTTTAGGTACAATTGATGGCTGTTTTAGGGGTTTGTATAAACATTTATTGTAATGGTACATATACTTGAATTAATAAATATGATACATCCTAATAATGTGAATAAGAGACATTTCAAAACATGGAGCATCAGCTTTTCCACACTGAAAGGAGAGAGAAGACTGAGAAGCAGCACAGAGCTGTTCGACAGAGAGCAGGTCAGACGTGTGCTGTGTGTCTCCACAGGAAGCAGACAGGGCTAGATTATCCCACAGAGCTCATCTGACAGCTCACCAAGATGACTGGCATGTTGATGCATGAACATGCCCGGCGGCAGGAAGCACATGGAGTAGCATGTTGAAGCTTCAAAGAACACTTCAAGAATGTGATAAAATGTTCCAACTGCACTAATTAGAGTATGATTGGGTTTGCGTGCTGACCGTATTGTTCACTTTTGTTTTCATTTAATTAAATTGTGCTTATTGTTTTTTTTTCTCTTTTACATGTTGCTGCATTCCTCAGAGAGTGCAAAATGGAAAGATAGCCGAAACGATAAATATAAAACCCAAGCCTAAATAACTGGAATGATCTTTTAAAGAGGAAGTTGTAAAAGCAAGCAGCGCTGAGTTGCCAGTCCGGCAGAACGAGTGTAAAAGAGAGTGGGGGGGGGGGAGACGGGGGCTAAAACCTCCCAGAGCTCGTTGCCGGGTTGACACGTCTCGCACACCGAAGTGCTTCTTCAAGCGTTTTTCAGCCCTCAGTCGTTAACCTTCTATTAACTCCTCCATCAATTGCCACTCATTCACACTCTCACTCGCTCTGATTTCTCCCCTACTCGCTCGCTCGCTCACTCCCTCACACACACAAACAGAGATTTTTACAAAAAGGTGTTTTTTCTTTTTCTTTCCTGAGACACTGGGGAGATGCTGGAGTGTGTGTGTGAGAAGAGAAAATGGTGTGTGTGTTGTTTTGAGTCGGTTTACAGCGTGCCGTTAGCCAACACAGGCCATGGCCTCGTCCTTAACCGCTCAGCCTCTGGTTGGCTTAAAGAAGATTAGAAATATAATTGGAGAGTTGCTCAGCAGAGCTGTGCGCTTTTTGCTGGTGTGTACTTTTTCTCTCTGTAAAGTTTTTGCACAGTTAGTAGTTTGAATTTTAACAATCTGTCTTTCTCTCCTTTTTCTTTTTTTTCCCTCTATCGCCGTCTTGCCTTTCACTTCTACCTGTCTCCCTCTTCCTACTTTCCCTTTCCACTCTGGTTCTGCAGGAATGTGCTGGTGAGCCTCTCTTCATGCTGTACTGCGCCATGAAGCAGCAAATGGAAAAGGGACCAATAGACTCAATCACAGGAGAGGCCCGCTACTCCCTCAGCGAAGACAAACTCATCAGGCAGCAGATTGACTACAAGACTTTGGTCAGTACTCAAACACATACTAGTGGACACAAAGACACTTTCGGTTTCAGAGGATAGAACATATAAAGTGCATACTGTACATCTCCTGTATTTATACGGAGCCAGGAAACTTTGAAAGTCATACTTGCTAAGGACAATTGTGTTGTTGTTGGCAACATGTGTAACCTACAACCCCACAAATGATCCTTTGAGGCTCATGACACAAATATCAATACTGAGAAAACATATTGTATATCAATTCAGATGAAACACCCTTTTAATAGTAATAAAGAGCTGAATGTGAACTGTTGCCCAGTTGAGTATTGATTCTTAACTGCTGAATGAGGTGCTGGTTTGCAAAAATCATCGCAGGGTCACGCCCCCAATAAACAACCTTCCCAGTCTGATGACTTCCGTCTTAATGTGAAACTTTACCCTCCGCCCTGCAGACGCTGCACTGTGTGAACCCGGAGAACGAGAACGCTCCGGAGGTGACGGTGAAGAGCCTGAACTGTGACACCGTCACGCAGGTGAAGGAGAAGCTGCTGGACGCCGTGTACAAGGGAACACCGTACTCCCAGAGACCAAAGGCCTCCGACATGGATCTGGGTAAGGAGTGGGAACACTGCACAAGACACACACACACACACACACACACACACACACACACACACACACACACACACACACACACTCCAACCACAGGTGCAGTACTACAGGGTGTAAAGAGGGAATCATTTCTAGAGCCCTCTGAAGCAGGAGGGGGGCTCTACAGAGAAGTGATTCTGTTAAAAATAACTAAAGTGAGCAGCCAAAATTAAGCATTACACCCATTTCAATTTAGTCAGACAGTTAACTTAGTCACTGTAACTTCACATGTTCTTATGATTAGGAAATTTTTGATGAATGAATCCGTGACATCTATGTCCCACTTCTCTCTGTATTTCCTCATTTAAACGACACAACCTTACCTCCATCCTCTTTGTGTGACAGAATGGCGGCAGGGTAGGATGGCGCGCATCATCCTGCAGGACGAGGACGTCACCACTAAGATCGACAACGACTGGAAGAGACTGAACACCCTGGCTCACTACCAGGTACTCCCGCACGACATCAATCCCATGATTCTTAGTGTCTCGATGGAACAACAACTCCTCATTGATTGGTTTGAGCATTATTACTGATTTGCAGTTGGTGTTATGGTTGTCTTTCTTTTAAGTATATCTTAGCCTTTTGAATGTTTAATGTTGTAAATGTTATTTATTCACATCAGTCATTTAAAAAGATGTCTATTACACATCAAGATAAGATAAGATGCACTTTATTAATCCCAATTTGGGAAATTGTCGGTGCTCTTAAAACTAGCAGTGATCTAAATAAAGGTTGACTGTTTGCGTAATCTTGCTGCTTGATATTTTGTGCAGTCCTAACTTATCTTGAACTTCCTGTTCCAGGTGACAGATGGCTCAGTGATTGCCCTGGTGCCTAAACAGAACTCAGCCTACAACATATCCAACTCCTCCACATTCACCAAGTCCCTCAGCAGATACGGTACGATAGAGTGTGTGTGTGTGTGTGTGTGTGTGTGTGTGTGTGTGTGTGACACACACACACACACACACACACACACACACACACACACTCTATCGTACCGTATCTGCTGAGGGACTTGGTGAATGTGGAGGAGTTGGATATGTTGTANGGAAAAAACGGGCAACTTGTGCTTTGTAAGGAATTTATCATAATGTTCGCACTGCAAGATCATTTGCCTCTTGACAGGATCATTACGAGATTCAGTGCTCCCACGACCATTACGCAATTTCAGCGTTCCTCCTTGGATGGAATTTTAATTGAATTAGCCCGGCTGGTTACACATGGTGCGAACGATAACATTTTCTGTCTATCTGGGCTCATTGAATCTGCTGAGGGTGGGGGGGGAGAGGGGAGTGCTGATGTTTTAAGGCAGGCCTTGAAAATAGGTGGTTCTGGTTCACTCCAATGTGCTTTCGTCTGGGTTTCTTTCTCTCTCTCTCTTTCTCTTGGTCCTTGCTTTCTTGTTCAGCAACAATACCTGCCATGAAAATCACTGGCCTAGCCCATCTGAGCCAGCTGACGCTCTACTATATTATACACTCGGAGCCATTCTTCCATCTAAGTGCCCATGTAAGCTGAGGGCAGTGCGAGCATGATGTATGGTTAGGGGGTAAATGTGTTAAAATTAACACCTCCAGAGAACAAACCTCCACCAGCCACTCATTCCCATAAGAATGATTAATGATGCTGGTCATGTTATGAAAGGCGGGGAGACCGAGGAGGGAAGCTATCATGCTGCAGGCTGACAGGAAGGTTTCTCTTGACTGTGCACATTTTTGAATCGTATTCTTTCATACTAAATGACACAGCCCATTAAGAGGCTAATGCAGGCTGAGCATCGATAGCAACATTTCAGTACTAGTACAGATACGATGAGAGTTTCTCTGGGTTAGAAGCTTTTCAAAATGTTTTAAGTGTGATTCACAGGAAGCCATTTGAGAACTTTGCGTAAATAAATTGCAACTTTCTTTATTCTTGGTAATTGAATCAATCCCTGTTACCTGTTGATATGGGAACATTTTGCTCTGTAACAAACATATATTCATGTTCGATAACCTTTTTAAATTATTTATTTTTTTAATGAGGGATGAGTAAACAGGGTATTTAGAAAGAAGATTAAAGAGCTTTTGGGACTAGTGTAGTGTCCGAGGTGTAAGTCCTTTAAAGATGCCTACTATAGCACCTGTATCAAGGTGTTGGACATGAGTCTGAGGGCTCAAGAGGTTTCTGAGTAGCCTTTACATCAACAAGCTTTAATAACAACATCTTTTTTAAGACATGTAGATTAAGACTTGCTGGGCCACGTTTCTGGTGTGACCTGGCCTTTGTGTTGTTAGTCAATTATAATCTAAAGAAGGTATAAATAAACACTTTCCTTGAACAGGTGATTGGACAATCTATGAAAATGAGAGGAAAGGACAATTGCAGGTAAACAACATTAACACATAATGGATTCACAGCAGTCTGGAACATAGCAAGAAGTCGTGTGGTGTGGCGTCATGAACCCCTGCTGCAGTACAACATATCCATGCTATCATTGGGAACCAAAGTGGGGCAAAAAAGTATTTAGTCAACCACCAATTGTGCAAGTTCTCCCACTTAAAAAGATGAGAGAGGCCTGTAATTTTCATCCTAGGTATACATGAAATATGAGACAAAATGAGAAAAAAAAAAAATCCAGAAAATCTCATTGTCTGATTTTTAAAGAATTTATTTGTAAATTAAGGTGGAAAATAAGTATTTGGTCAATATTTTTGCTCACCGTTCTTGTGATCATTTTGACACCACGGGGTGAGATCTTGCGTGGAGCCCCAGATCGAGGGAGATTATCAGTGGTCTTGTATGTCTTCCATTTTCTAATAATTGCTCCCACAGTTGATTTCTTCACACCAAGCTGCTTACCTATTGCAGATTCAGTCTTCCCAGCCTGGTGCAGGTCTACAATTTTGTTCCTGGTGTCCTTTGACAGCTCTTTGGTCTTGGCCATAGTGGAGTTTGGATTGTGACTGTTTGAGGTTGTGGACAGGTGTCTTTTATACTGATAACGAGTTCAAACAGGTGCCATTAATACGGTTAACAAGTGGAGGACAGAGGAGGATCTTAAAGAAGAAGTTACAGGTCTGTGAGAGCCAGAAATCTTGTTTGTTTGTAGGTGACCAAATACTTATTTTACCGAGGAATTTACCAATTCATTCATTAAAGATCCTACAATGTGATTTCCTGGATTCTTTCCCCCCATTTTGTCTCTCATAGTTGAGGTATACCTAGGATGAAAATTACAGGCCTCTCTCATCTTTTTAATTGGGAGAACTTGCACAATTGGTGGCTGACTAAATACTTTTTTGCCCCACTGTATATATAACAAATGTACACTTACCACTTTCTCCATCCATCTATAAAAACTGCAAATGACATTAAATAGAAATCCCAAGCCACATTTTATTTAGCAAAAAATGTTTAATCTCTCCTTGATGCGTGTTTATTTACAAGTAGTAAATCTGCAAAATAGGAAATAACAGAATATTTACACAATGAATGTTAACCTGCAAACTTGTGACAGTCGCTTCAAGTCAGAAACTCTAACAATGTATCAGAGTTATTGTAGTATTAAAATTCCTTTGCCTGAAATTCATTTGCTTTGTGTTTCCTTGAATTTTATGTAACTTCCATTAATAAAAAAAAAAGGAAAACCACTGAATTTTCCAGTATCGGAAGAAAGCCTGAAAATAAAACTGAAAACAGAATGGTGCCAGGACTTGCATTTGATTCAACTATGTTTTCTTTTTTGTGGGAAGGCAAAAGTATGACCAAGCATGTCTTTAGAGCTGAGAATTAAACATGAGATACATGAGTATGTGCTGGCTCACACTGAAGCCATTTGTTCATTTTGACAGAAAAACAACATAATACCCAGTAACTCTGTCAAACTGCAGTCGTCATGTTGTACAAGTTTTAAGTCACCTGATGCCTCCTCCTGACACTCTAAAACTGACATGCTGTATACCACCTCCACAACACTAAATACGAGCCAATTATCACACCAAACTGTGCAAAACGAAGGATAAAGAATGGTGACTGGTAAGTTTCTCTCACACTTTGTTTAAAAAGGCAAGTAGCCATGCAAACGATAAACTAGCCAACTCCCGCAGCACTCATTTAACCAACCAAATTACAACCAAAATACGACACAAATGAATCATGAACCTGAGAATGATTTGAGAATGTTCAAGTGTCCTGAAAATAAAGCCTGATGGATCATCAACCAGACACAGACTTTACTCTGTGTTGTTTTGCAGGTAGCAGGTGGATGTATCCCTACTGTACCTAGTGCTCATACTGCTGTTTACAGCACTACAGAGCTCTTGTGATGCTATCTACAGTAAGAGCATCAAATGTACGACTGCAGCAAAACCTCAGCTGTATACTGAACAAGAAAAAAAGCATGTTTTTTTAAATGTTTGTTTGAGGTTTTGCAGTACTCTTCAATATTCATGATTTTAACAGATATTATGTAATGAGTCTAGCCACCATTATCAACTGAACAACTAAAATGGGCAGTGGTCCCTCAAGATATATTTGGTAGGTATAGAGTGAACTATTGAGTCCCTACAGGTATCCAGTTGAATTAGGCTCATATGTAGCTGCAGCAGTAGAAAGCAATGTCACATCTAAGACATGTAAACAAAATGGTGCTGTTGACATTAATCTGGGAGCTGTGCTCACTTTTCGTGGATATGAGAGATTTTTTTCAAACACCTGGCGTAAAAATAGAAAGGGACAGCATTTATGATCAGCACAAAATGACAGCCCTAATGTTTGATAGAAAAACAAGGTACAAGAGTTAAAGCAGCAAGTCACATTTCTATCACAAAGACACAGATGCTCATCTGATGCAACAATTTCATTTTGATCCTTAAGATCAGGGAAATAAACCTTGAGTTCGGTCAAGTACTTCAATGTCAGGCAAACCAAAGCAAAAATGTTGTCTTCTGTGTACCGTAAAATGTCCAATTTACATGTTCAAAAATAAAAAGACGAAAAAAACTACCTGATTACGAAAAAATGGCAAACAGCTTCTGTTCATTATGAAAAAGTATACAATTTACAAATTAAAACAAAAACATTTTACAGACCACAGTTTGGTTTTTCGGCAAGCAGACAAAAAAAAATGAATAGTATTTCTCACCACCAAGTCAATAACCCTGACTTCAAAAAAAGAGAAACAGAGAAATGTTCTTAAGAGAGCAGTAATAAAAAAGGGGCTTAAGCCACACATGGCAAAAGGCTAGTTCTGAAACAAGAGCTGCAGGCTAAGGGGAGGATTACTCAGCTTTGTGGAGCTAATGAACAGAGGCGTCTCACCTCCGTATCTTCCTATACCCCCCACTATGAAAAAAAAAGAAAAGCTAAAACCCCTGTCTCAAATTGATAGGTTAGAGGTGGAGAGAAACACTCAGTATATATTTTCCATGTCCCTCTTTAGGGGGTATTAACATTGAGAAAAAAGCGGCTGAAAACAGCTCTCCACACTTTGTTTCACCACTGAGGGTCTGAGCTCTACCTGACCTCACTGTTGCTTCTGTAAAGACGTAAACAGCGTCTGAGAGCACCAAGACTTTGGCTTTGCTCTTACAGGACTATTGGATAATGCATGACCCTTCATGGGTGGGTTACACAAACTGGGGTCCTGTTGAATCCTCATGGTTAGATATGGTGGCTATGTGGTATTGGGGAAAATGGAAATATATCAGGTAGTGCAATGTAGCTACTTCATTATTCAGTTACCGAAACACGATCCACTCGACTGTCACTTCTTCCCCCTTAGAGAACCAGCTGTGGCGCTGGATACTAACGTGGCCATGATAAAGCAACAATCCTGTGAGTATATTTTTGTTTTTCTGAAACCAAACGATTGCACTGATAGAATTAAACACAACAGCATCTTCATGTTATCGCCGCCGTGAACTGTCCTAACTCGAGAAGACTGACATCTCTGTGTCCTTTCCCGTCATTTTCAACAAGGATCTTTTGAAGGGTCATTACTCAAACAATTCATTTCAGTCACTAGGCATGTTCATATTTAAAATCATACGGTAGCATATTCCATCTAACAAAATGTCTTTGCACTAAACAACATTCAAAGAAAACATGGCACAGTACGAGTTTTTTGTTTCTTTTTCGTAGTTTTTTTTGTCTACGTTGTTTTTTCTTTTGTACTTGAAATATCAAATCATGTTCTATTGTTCTTATTTTTATTCTGTTAGTTGGTTTGAAATGAGAAAAAAAACAACAAAAATGTTTTTCTCCCTATTCTTTCTTTAAAAAGGTAGCTGTATTTATATATAATATCTATATCGTCTTCCTTTGTAACGTTTCTGTAAATTGTGCAAATTCAGCAGTAATACAAGTGGCGAGAGATCAGAGAGTGGGCAGTTGATTACATCTATACAAAAAAGAAAAAGAGAAAAATCTAACATCCTTTAAAACTGTGACACGTTGGATTCACATGACCTAGAGAGCCTTTCTCCATTGGCTCATCACAGATTGGTCCATCCTGCGAGTGGTGCCATAAATGGAGTTCCTTTTCCGGGCTTTCATTGTTTCTTTCCTGACCATCGTTTCATCACGACAAAACTCCAGAAATCAAAATCAAGCAAACGACAAACACCAATATCCACAATAATCAAATGCTGTCAGTTGACATGTTTCTCCATGTATGCGTGTGTGAAAACGTCTGGTGTCCCAGTCTCTCACACAGACACGAGCCCACACGCTGTATGGGGGCTGCAGACAAACACACACATACACATGTAAGCGTACACAGGTCCGCCCATCTCTGCCGAACCCCCCCCATTTTGCAGTATTCTGCGTCAGTCCTTTTGCAGTTCGTCTGTCGTATTGTTGGGGGTTGGAGTTTTGTTTGTTGTCTGGTTGAGAGGAGCGAGGGAGAGACACAGATGGAGAGGAGGAGTGAAGAGAAGGAGGAGATGGAGGTGTAGCATGGTCCCTCAGCTGCTCAGGGCCATTGTGTCGATGACCTGCTCCAGCTTGCTCCTCAGTCTCTGTCGCCTCGCCTGCTCGTCCTGCTCTAGAGCCGACAAGATCTGAGGACAGAGGGAGGAGGAGGTCAGTCAATGTCACAGTGAGCCGCTTTTGCTTTCAAAATGTGGAGTGGGTTCCCCAAACAAGACTGAGAGAGGACAGCAACATACCAGCTCGCAATGTCAACTGTAAATTAGGGCTGCTCAATTAATCGTATTTTAAATCGCGATTATGGCTTGCAACGATTACGAAAACAGCGTAATCGAAATAAAACGATTATTATTGCATTTGTTTTTTTTTGGTTTTTCAGTTGAATTATACTTAAAGTTCACGGTAATCAACTGTTAAAAACATACTGTTCAAATTTTTTTCTCCAATAAATGGATGTTTTCAAAGTCAATGAATAATCGCAATTACAATTATTGACCCAAATAATCGAGATTATGATTTTTGCCATAATCGAGCAGCCCTACTGTAAATATAAAAGCTTGTATTCAAATAAAGTCAAGCACGGACAATAAGCGGCTGAAAGAAATAAGGGGGAGGAACTACCTGTATCCTACAAAAACAGGCTCTTAGGTGGTCAATTTTTTAAACACACGCTTTTTGATACTTTTCAAAAAAATGCTGGCTGTCGATTTTTGGCTAGGCTAGTTATAAGGCATTTAATAGGAAACATGTAAAACAGTCCTTTGTTGAAAAATAGAAACTGAAACATCCCAGTGGTAAATTATTCTTTGTTTCTAGAAAGAATAATGAATACATGACAACAATCACAATCATCTTATCTTTTTCAGGAGTAACCTCCAGGTTAGCTGAAAACACTCAAGGCATGATGAAAACTAAGTCTCAATATACTGAAACTCTGAGCTCACCTCATCCTTGTACTTGACAATGTAGGAGTAGATCTCGTTGAGGGCCGACATGCTGTTGAACTGGTTGGCGTGCAGGCGCGACTGCTCCGCCAGGTACGCACTCATGTCCTGGTCACTGATGACCGGCATCCTGGAGATGTCAGAGTAGTACCTGGAGGGAAAAAAACACAGCTTAGAATTGACAGATCTGATTTAAAGCAGAATTTAGGACACACATCGAACAATTGCTGCCTTACCTCTCTACCCAGTTCTTATAGTTGGGGATGTCTTTAGCGTAGAGCAGCTTGTTAGAAGGCGAGTCCTTCCCTAGTTTATGCTCCGATGTTGAACAGGAGTCCATGAAGGTCTGAGCCACCACAGACAGGCAGGCGTCTGTGATGCTGTTCTTATGGATGTCAAAGACAAACTGGGGGTTTTTGATCACGTTGACCCAGAACCTCAGTGGAAGACTGGAAGAATTAAGAGAAAAGGTGGAAGGGGAGGGAGAAAAGTTGCACAGTTAGAAGGAGAGCAGTAAATAACCCTGCATGCAGACTCTGATGAAATACCTGAGGCAAGAGAAAAAGTAACGGCACAATTTGCACCAACTCTGTAATTCGTTGCATATTTGCTGGCTTACAGTCAAAACTATTTTCATACCACAGCATGTTTTTCACAACACTAATGAGAAACAAACTGGCTACCAAACCCTCCTAACAATGCACCACTCAGAGCACATGGACTCACCAGTTGCTCTTCCAAGTGTGCCGCACATCAGAGTCTGATATGGAGTGTTTGTCTGCCTGCTCGTCCAGGAAGTCAAACATGTACTTGATGGCGAGAGGCAGGGCGCTTCCTCGGTGCGCCGTGCTGAAGATGGTCTCGAACAGGTCATCCACAAACTTCTGGAGCGTACCCTGAGCAGAAGAACACACAACGGCTTAGTAAGTTACAAAAGGATTGATCTGTTTGATTTAAGTTTCTTCTATGTTCAAATCCAGAGACATGGTGAACCATCTTAAAATAAACCAGCCCACGTAATGTCATTATGGTAACAATGTTGGGTAAAAACTAACAGCAATACCGACATATTTGAGACAGAACGGACAAAATCAAACGTTTTCTCGTGAATATTCCTGGTCTGGCTTGAGGCGATGTTTGAGAATGACAGTGCTTTGCTGTTAGTTCTCCAACTTTCTGAGTTTGTGATGGTGCTGAGTGTTCTTTACAGTGTTTAGGATGGGGCCCAATGTGAGTTCAGCCTAAAGCCTTTCTGCAAAGTTTTCTTTACCATATCACACAACTCAAATTCCTCTGAAGTTGAAACTATTTGATATTTCCCAAAAGTGTTCAGCACATTATTTCCCATCTTCAACCTTTTGCAAACCCAATTTAAACCAGAAAGAAGTGGAATATGCAGTTGTGTCCTCCACAAATCTGCTTTCAAGAGCTGTGGGGGCTAATAAATAAGAATAAACTGCAGAGCTCTTAGTTGTCTCCCCCTGGCTTGCATGTTAATCTTTCCCAATCGAGGATGCATTGATGCTGCTAACCTTGCACTTTTCTACCTGAAGTCAATACAATGGAAATCTAGTCTAATGAGTGCAAATTCCAGGAAGAAGAAAGATTAGGTGGGCTGAATAACAGCATGCACTATGATAAGACTACTGCATGTTGTGTGCGAATGAAACAAAACAGATGGAGCTCCTGTGTATTCTGCACATAAGGCGAAGCAGTATTAACTTAAAGTAAGAGCTGTCAACTTTATGCTGAGCACACTCTAAATCTAAACACCTCTCCTGTTTGGTAAGCTTCCTTCAGTTTGTTCTAAAGTGCAGTTAAAGTTAATCATCTAAAAACTTTAATGGCAATAATGGATTCTGAAGGATTAAAAACCACCTAGGCATATTAATGAATGACTTTCTCGATTCTTATTTTAATCTCATTCTTAACAATATAATCAAGATATTAATATGGGCAAATGTAAAATATGTACAGCCTCAACGTGTTTGTAGGAAATGTGTGTAGTAGACCATAAACACACAATAACCTAACCAACCTGTTTCAAAACTTTCTGAAGACTCTTAATTGCTCTCAACAGCTCTGGTAAACATTGCACCAGCTTCAACAGTCCCAGAATATGAAATGGTCTCAGGGTTGCAAAAGCTGTTCCACAAGACTTTAAAACAGTCACTCAACTGTGGTTAACAACACACTAAGGGAGGTTTCTCCAGGACACCACAAGCCTCCAAATAACCTTTCAGATCATCATCTGAACACAGACGCTGCATTAAGCCCTGAGCCGGTTCCACAGTGTGGTCTGGAGGACATGCAGGAATTTGATGAGTGATGATCTCGGGGTAAAAGCCTGGGCCTGAAAGCCCTGAGGCCACCAACAGAGGGCCCAGTAACACCGAACAAACAGCTCAATAGTCAAAGGTCAACCTCCTAATTAAGACACACACACACTAATTCCTGTGCATATGTGTGTCTTTGCGCCAAAGGTTATGAAAAATGTTAATGAGCTCTGAGACCACCAACACACGAAAGGTCAGGGGTGGAGGCTGCTGGTGGAAGTGGGCTACATGGATTAAGGTGAGTAAGTTAGTGTGTGTGTGTGTGTGTGTGTGTGTGTGTGTGTGTGTGTGTGTGTGTGTGTGTGAGTGTGTGTTTCTGGATACCTTTGTGGCCAGCAGTCTGGTCAGGTAGATCTCAGACACCATCTTGCTCCCCCTGTCTCCTTCCCTCTGGTCTGAGTGGTCGTGGTTCTTCACCAGGTGCCACAGCTTGGTGCCGCTCTCCAGGTCGGGGGTGATCATCGGGGTCCGGGAGCGCAGGCTGTCTGGACTGCTGGCTGTCCTCAGCATGCTCTCTGGAGGGAGAGGAGACAGAGAAGAGTTGAGTAAAAGGGTAAAAAAAAAAGACACAAATCTGGTGTTTTCTTACAAATAATTGTGTATATATTTTGCATCCAGGAATAAGGAGGTAAATATAGAAATGAAAGTTCAAAGTTCAAGGTTCTCTGACATAAAGCTCTTTTTGTAATATTGATTGGCATTGACCAATTATAGATAAGTCTTAAAAAAAAAAGTGCAATTTAAATGAACCTTCAGAAATCACAGGTAGACTCGGAGACAGTGGCCGTTTCTCAATGTCGAGTAGAGCTGCTGCAGAGCCACTGTTTCGAGTAGCGCCAAATGCTGGGCATTTAAACAGCGTTCAAACAGTCCTTCGGCGCCACTCAATGACGTAGTATACTTGACATAGTGGCTCTGCAGCAGCTCTACTCGACATTGAGAAACGGCCACGGCCTTCATTAATGCTTGCTGTTGCCTTGAACCTCTAGCTGAGACCTAAGGGTGTTTTAGATAAATATAACTTGATACAACACATAACAACCGATAGCTTGGTCTCTAGTTAGTAAAAGTACAATTCATTTGGTCTTAATCACTATTTCAACATAAAAAGTATCAATAAATTAAGCTACCTAGGTATAAAAATACATGAATAAGAAGTCTGAGAGTACAGAGAGAATATCTGCATGAAGTTAAAACGATTCATAAAAGGTTACAGATCCTTCTACATGCACGTCACTCTTTCTTTCCAATATAAATGTGTCACTCTCTCTCCCTCCTGCCTGCCTGCCTCCCTCCCTTTGTTGGACAGTGATCCCCTATTTTGTGACACGGAGCATTACGTTCTCAGTTTGAATGCTTGTCATTCTGGCGACAAAATAGGAAAGGATAGAGAGGTTCAAAATGTCAGGAGAGAATGTGAACCAGGAAAGCACCGAGTGAGGGTGATGGCTGTGTTGGTGAGTATTTATGTGTGTGTGTCATGGGGGAAACACTCAGGAACAGAGTTACTGTACACCAGAGACGGATTGAGAGGATAAAAGAGGGATGGATGAAACTGAGGTCAACTAAATGGACTGTGTTTTTTTGGCGTAAAAAATAATCACTATTAGACATAATCTAGAAATACAGTTTTTTGTCTTTTTCCAAAATGTCAACCAACAATTTTATGTCATTTTATTGCATGATTGTCATCCTCACAACCCATTATGCTGACAGCATTGGACCTCACAGCTACACTGCTTCCTGCTGTGAGTAATGACTTTAGCCTATCCAGTATATGGTCTCAAATATACTCTGCCTGGCATTGGACAAAGCATTGGCTAAATCACATGTTTGAGTTTGAAAGGATCCCCCAAAATGCAACAGGTTCCTTCACTTCACACATCCATGTTTCACACCTGTAGAGCCAATATTGGTACCATTATACTTTGATCCTGCTCTCATGCATTCTGGGTGTGTACAGCCTATCACAAGGTGTGGAAAACGTATGTTGTTTTGTATGGTAATTTATATTGATTTATGTACATTTAATAAGGTGGATATATTCCTACACCATACACGATAGCATCTCCAAAACGGGATTTAGAGCATCAGAGAGAATATGAAGGGATTGTCAGTAAAGGAACTGGACAGCCAGGAAGTCACTGAGCAGTGACACAAAGTAGTACTGCTGACAGCTCTCACGCCTCTGTGGGGCGCATGATGGGAATTGACATGAAACTGTTTTGTTGCAAAGATGGGAATGTTTGCTGAAAAGTTGCCTGGATAACCACAATTGTATTAGTACACTGTCAAATGTAATGAAATGTTTACAATAGATCTGGGTTATACTTTCTAAAAACTGTTTAAAGAAGGGTGAAACAAGTACGGTAGTTCAACAGTTCTTGAACTTAATCACTTAAACAGTTTTGAAAGAGATTTTATCATAGGGTTAGAATGTCAAAAGAAATATATTTTTTAATGTCTAAAGATGTTCTTCCTGTCAGAAGTATCATATATTTCGCACATTTAGTCAGAAGTGATCTGAATACAATTAAGGCATTTTGCTTTTACTTTGTTCATGTTAGAAATGTATTTTGTATGTTTGTATATTTTGAAATGAAGGCACACACACACACACACACACACACACACACACACACACACACACACACACACACACACACACACACACGCACACACACAGAT